CGATAGTATTTCAACATGTGATTTTTTTTATGTCCGTTACCTATGTTGAATAAGATACTATCATTGAAATTAAATATTTCTCGTAATTGCAGCACTAATGTACATGATAGAAAATGATAATCTAATTCGAAAATTTTGATTTAGAAGTCTTCAAAATACTGGAATTGATCTAATGAATTGTATGGAAGCTATTGAAGATATAACACAAGTATTACAAATGATCAGAAATTCATCTGATGTTGAAGATGAATATTTATTTGAAGAAGCATTAGATTTAGCTGAACATACAAATACAACAATTCAAAATCCGCAAACAATACAGCGACAGGTAACATTTGAAATGTCGATGTTGTGAGATATGTTGACTAGAGATGATTTATTTAGCAACATCGAACCAGCGTACTAGCAGCAACTGATTCTGATTATTATAAGTTCCGTATTTTTACTTCCTCATTGGATCATTTTGTGAAACTCACATATATTTTTAAAGAAAATAATGAGTATAAGTTTTAAGTCGAAGTTTTGCGGATCTAGCTCACTAGACTCCAATTATAAACGTTGAGCAACGGAATCTCTATTAAAGACATCGCCCATAACAGACGTTAGTCACTCCCTTTTTTCTCCTACAAGTCCTAGCAACCGTATCAGGACGAAACCAAAAATTGTTGGATATGTTTTTATATTAACGAGAAATGGCGCCTGAGCAATATCAGTTCTTAGATCATTCTGAAACTCTGTAGATTCTCACTGTTTAGTGTAAACAATGGAGTTTTAGACTTTTCATGCAGCAAAAGGACCTTACCGTAGGTTTTAGTCAATAGAACAGTCCTATTTCTGATCTACTACAATGTGATTTGGATGATCATAGAAAAATCTGAACTGATTAAATTCTAATTTCAGGCACAACCCAGTTGTATATGTTAAAACTCGTTGAGAGAAAGGATAGTGGACAGGATAACTTGATGAGCGATAAAATCAATGCCTACAGCAGACTATAATATAGAAACTAAATTGAGAAAAGGAAGGGTACATTAATATTCGTCCCTTCCTACGCCATGCGTCGTATATATTAACATTAGGTGAAAAGAAATCATGTATTGAAGATATATCTGATAATACAAATAAATTTTGACAGTATAACGATATTAAATGAATCAAATAAATTTGTAGAAAAGCAAGTATTAATGTATACATTATCGAAATTATAAAATTTTGAGACCATGTATATCGAAAATAAAAACTGTTATGATTTTGAATTATGCATTTATTTGATATTTTTTTACAAATGATTTTTTTAAAAGCTCTGACAATATATCAAAAATTTATAGCAGCCAGTATTCGTGAGGTTCACATTTTGGTTCCGAAAGGAGAAGCATTGACTAGTTATTTTTCATCATTCGTGGTGCCACCCAATAAGCCAATTCACAGATTTTGTTGTAACAAACTTCCTTTCTTTCATAAACATTACTTTCAATCGAATTTGAAGATCATACAAACATTTAGTACTGTCGTAATCAAGCTTAATTCTTCGAACATATTTTTAGTTCACCGACTGATACAATTTTTAATAGTTGTATTTAACTTTTTCGTACACTTCTTTTGACTAATGGCACTATTTCAATATATGATATAGCTGAAGAGCAAAGTTTGACAGAGAAAAATCTCTTCGTTGAATATCTCTTAATGCTGGTTCTCAGAATTGAAGATGAATAATTAAATAGGATTTTAATATCGCAACAGCAGTCCTAAATTATATTGTTAAACATGAGAAGGTAGTTGTTCTTGTTGAACCAAATAGAGAATAGAATTTCATTTTTGTAATATCAATTTCATTGACTGAAAAACATTCAACAAGGAAATATCTGTGAACATCTATGTCTTCAATACAAAACGAAGAATATGAAAAAAAGTTATTTTCATTTAATCACATGCGAAATGATCATACAACAATCGCTAAAAATCTTATTAAAATATCCTCTACTTAACGTGAAAAGAAGTTCAACATAGGATTATAGTTCGTTTAGCTCAATATTCAATATATACGAAATAAAAATCTTAACGAAGGGTTATCAAAAAATATTCATGTTGGATTTTATATTCCATTTATTAAAATGCATTAATCTAATGAAAATCCATTAATAACTGATTTTGATATCAACTTATCAAAGTTTAGACTCTATAAATTCTACCAACACCTTTGACAACTCATCCGCCACAATCGCAAGCGCACAATAGAATAGAGAATAACAATTAAAACGAGATCTCTTGTCTCATCACAAACAGCTACTAAAATTCATGCATTGTGGTGGATTATAACTCCTACTTTTCATTGACTACATGTAAATGACATTCTTGTTAGAAACGTCCTTCATTCCCAAAACATCTTATCTTCATTTGTATGATCACAACATTAACCTGATTGATCGATACAACGAGAAATACGTCATTCAAACCAAGCATCTTCAATAATCAAGTGTAAAATCTTTTTATACAGAATTAAACTCACCATCTAGTACAGTTATTTCAAACCATCGAAAATACATTCATGAAGAGACCAAAAAATTGTTTTTTCTTATATTCTCAAAAAAGCAATGATGGAAAATTATTAAACCAAAATCTTCTCTCTTGACAAGCATCTCGGGTTTGTCAGTACAATATGATTCGATACCGGATTCTGCTGCACATTTGATTCCACCAATCCAAACGATCGGACATATTTCAGTTCTAAAAAACGAAAAAAAATTCTCTTGATACTATTATCACATGGTAATGGGCCATCATCAAAAGAAAATTCTCTCTCTTGTGAAGTGTGTCTTGTTCATCTGCACTAACTGATTCGACACGACATATAATTCTGAATTTCTTATATCTATTCCAAATGCCCGACGTCAATACATCAAATGCAGTAGAGAAGTTTCTGTTTTGTACGCGTAATTTATTTATTGAATTAGATAATGATTAGAGGAGGTATGAAGAAAACAAAAGAATAAGTATGTCATGAATGAATGAAAAAAAGGTTCTTTGTTATGATTATTAATGATAACCATGTGCTTGTTTTCGCCCTCTATAATAATGTTTCGTATCTCTCAATTTTCTCATTGATTTATTCGATGACTCATAGAATTGTGTTTCTCATTTTGTGAATTCCTCGTGTTGTGCTAGTTTCTGATCGGTCTTGATACATTATCACACAAGTATATATCTTGTTGTGTTGATCCTGCATGAAAATCTGATATCGATTTTCTGGATGGCTTCTCAAAGACTTTCTGATAACATCCACTAATATCATTTCAATATCTCCATTACGATGATGTGTGAGTATAGGTACTAGGCATGGATATGGCATGCACATACACATTGTTTGCAAACTGATACAATGAGATATGTCGTCAATTACTTTAAACAATCAAATGAACGAAAAAAAGACACTATCAGGAAGAGGAATGACAGAGCTGTCTCGAATATCGCTTGTTCGAACGATGAAAGGCCAAAGTCTAATTAAGTACTGCCCATGGCAAAGAGCAGTCATTAACCAACCTATGAAAGTTTTTTCACCCCTGGACTAATACGTCTTGCATGACTGGATAATGCGTCTTTTTTTTTCTATTTTGTTTATGATATACATTGATGAGTGGTTTGCACTTTGATCACATCACCATTGTACTGGTAACTCGAGAAAATATTATCTTTTTCCGAATTATTTTGAAACGCTCGTATATTATCTAGGCAAATCATGCAGAATGAGTGTGCCGCAATTGTAAAATAAAGTACGAACATGTTAGGTACGTAGACTTTGATATTGCATCGTAATTCATTTCGTGTATATAAACACAATGCAGAACCGTTATTGTGTATGCACAAATAAAGTATTAACGTACAA